TTACCCTAATTTTCGGACTATAAGCCGCGCCTTTTTCCCTATTTTTCGACGCTGCGGTTTATATAACGGTGCGGCTAATCTATGGATTTTTACAGCTAACAGCCACCACCTTTAACTCTATGGGCTCTATGGCCGGTCCGCGGACCCAAACCTTTAAGCAGCGGGTTCCAGCAGGAAAAGCTGGAGGCCGGAAAAGAGTGAGACAGGTAGCGCGCAAAAGTAAAAGTGGAACCGAGAGTGGTACGAGAGACAGAACGAGAGCAAGACAGACAAACATTACGAGAGCGAGACAGTTTGTCCCCGTACAACTGGTTGAAAACCACTGCTGTAGATCACTGCCGGTACGTGCGCTGGGAGCGCACCGTTTAAGTTTGAAAGTTGAAAAGTTTGTGTGTCTGAAACGCTATGTGATACAGTACAGTTTACACAGCACAGTACATGTTCTGTAGCTACTATTGCACTAAATGGTAACACTTGAATACGTTATGCAAATATGCAACTTGTTTGTTGAAATGTTAATAAATGGGAGCTTCCTCAAACAGCCATCTCTTTCCCGACAATCCCCTCTGTGCACGAACCCTTACATATGGTAATTAAACATTAAAACACCTGCGGCTTATAGTCCAGTGCGGCTTATATATGTACACATCATTCAATTTAGCTGCTGCGGCTTATATTCAGGTGCGCCTTATAGTCCGAAAATTACGGTAGTTTATACATTGATTTATATTTTGTATTAGTCATCCTAATCTGCAAAGCAACAGCTGTAATATAAAAGTAATAAATAAAAAAACGTGCCTAGAAAATGTAGAATTAAATTTGAAAGTGGCATAATTTACAAATATTGAGACATTTTACCTAGTTACATTCCAACACCACAAGACAGAGAAACATACACCACATGTACAGGATGAGGCAGCAAACACATTTTGTAACATATGACCAAAAGTAGGTAATTTATTTAAAAATAAAATATTTATTCAGCTTCTTCTCCTGGCCAACCCATTGAGGATGAACCTATGGTCTCACTGGTGTTTGTTTCATTAGGCTTCCTCTCCCTGGCTGCCTGTTGGCCATGTTTCCAGATGAAGAGGATGCAGAGACTGAAGACAGCTCTCTTCATGGTGGACGCATCCGCTCCTTCAAACATGAGAGAGGCAACTGGGCCAGTTACGTTTATTTACCATGTAAGACCAACACACCATACTGCTGCTGGTAATTACTTCATTCTAATTGATTTAACCCACCTTCTCTCTCTCTCCTCTGCACATCAGATCATCCTGAGGAGGAGTTCATGGATTTGTTGCAGGATCTGCTCTCGTTTGCCAGTGCCCATGGAGCGGTTTTGACCCTGCAGGAGGAGTTCCACCTCAGCCTGTCTCTGACGGTGGTGCTCAGACACCACTGGATCCTACCCTTCACCCAGAGCCTGAAGGCAGGTCTGATGCACTGCAAGAGGTAAGCTCAAATACCCATACAACGAAAGACACTCATATTTGATTTGATTTGTTCATTTATTTTCTGCTTAACACCAGTGTGTTTGCAGAACGTACTGTATGTACAGGAACACTATGTACAGGAAGTCATTTGTAGGACAAGTATTTCAATTGTGACAAAAAATGCTTACATTTTCAGTAATATTACCCATAAAGCCTCCACTGTTAACGTAGAATATAAAAACTGAGAAAAGTCTCGATGAAATCAAGAAAATCTTGGCCGCATTTAACAAAAGCAGAAATATAAATCAATCTACCCATTAGGGATGCCAGCGATTATTCAATTTTTCGAATATTCGTTACAGTCTCCATAATCGAAAATTATTTTTAAGATTCGATTTTATTTATATATTTTTTTATTATTAATTTTCTTTTTCTTTTTTTTCCTGGCTTAGTTTCAACTAAAAATATAGACTAATGCAAATAATAGTAATAGTATTAATAATTGTAAATGGCCATTGGTCACACCACCAGTTTGTTTTACTGTAAACTTGGAGGAAGCCAGCAGCGCGTGCGATTGATTTATTGGCGATATACAGAACAGTGAGAAAAACACAACTAAAGATGAACAAAGCGGCACGTTCAAAGAAGAGTTCCCCGTGGAACTACTTCGAACTGACAAGTGCAAATTAAGTAAAATGCAAGCTCTTCGAAAACACTTTGGTCTACCATTACATTACATTACATGTCACTTGTTAGACGCTTTTATCCAAAGCGACTTACATACTCAATACAGTGGACAATTCCCTCAGGAGCAATTTGGGGTGAAGTGTCTCAGGGACACAACGACATGCTGACTGCAGTTCACAGCTCAACATCAACAATGCGTTCGCATTTGAGTGCGAAGCATGCCAAAGAAGTGCCTACAGATTGCCTTTATTTGAAGATGCGCGATGCACGCACACACATGAAGTAGGCTATTTATTGAATGTATTGCAATGCTGCTATTATTAATAGAAGCTATGATGGTGGTTTATTTGTTGCTATTGCTCTGTACTGTTCTACCTGAAGAGCTCTTTTGTACCATGTACATGTTCCAGTAAAAGAAAACGGAATTCCATTTGTCTGTGTTTTTTTTCTCTCTCCCGCAGGGCTGTCCGATTTTCGAATTTGTTCATGGTCAGTTTCTGGCATCCCTACTATCCATTTGGGTATAATTAAAGTCTCATTTACTCAGTTCTATGCTCGCTACTTCCCAAAACAGATGCATTTCTACTAAAACCTTGTTTTTTAAAAAAGTGTTACGCTTTCACAGTTGCACTACCAGTCTGAAGTTGAATAAAAACATTTTTTGTGAAAATGCATGTGTGAGAGAAGTACTTAGCATACAGTACGACAAGAGTAATGATGAGAGTGCAGGCATAGGTAATCAATGAAATACTATACATATTGGATCTCTGCAGGTAAGGTGAGGAAAACGGCATACAGTATGCAGCAGCAGTATAACTTGCACTTGAGTAAGTGGAATAGAGAACATCGTTAATAAAAGATAGTCAAGTTGCATCAGAATCTGACTCTGGTGGAAATGTGTCCATGCTGTGTTTCTTGTTTCCAGCTTTCTGTGCACAGCAGGGAGACTGAGGGTCTACTGTAACGCTGAGAGGACCAGGTACTAGGGCTGCTCAATTAATCGTATCTGTAATGCAGCCTTTAAAACCATGAAAATATAACAATTAAGCCATATTACGATAATTATAATAAAATATCACAATTGTATGAAAGCATTAACTGAAAATTGATGATAATGCAAAACCAAACAAATAAAACATAATTTCTAAACCAACAAAATAATAAAAATCCCCAAGAATACTTAGTCTCAGATCACAGTTTCGATAATATAGCAACATTTAACATTACACATTCAGTTTTAACTGTTGCAAAAAAGTTATTGACTTATCTGTCAAGTATACATTTTAATTTTTAATGTGTCTGTGAGAAATATCTTATCTCTCTGTGTGTTGTCCCCCGCAGAACGTTTCTGGGGATGGAGGTGTGCGCTGGGCATGTTCAGTTAATGGACCTGGTCCATGAAGTGGACAAAACCATGACAGAGTTTCACCTGGACACCTTCTATAAGGTCACTGTCTGAGAGACACATTTTATCCTTTGAAATATATAGCAAGACCAGTTTGTGTGTCACTCTTTAAGTTTGAATTAGTATTTTTCTGTCGTTTAGGTACTATTAAATTACATTTAGATATTGAGCTAATAGGACAGGTGTGTTTTTTGCATTAAAACACCTAGTTTGTCCCATATGACTTATTGTAAAAAATAATTACTATTCAATAAATTATTGTAAACCTAACATCCACCCTGGTCTGTTTTGAAGGATCCTTCTTTCCATGTGAGTCTGGCCTGGTGTGCTGGAGACCAGACGGGACAGATGAAGGAGGGGTGCATTCAGGGGATGCAGGTACACTGACCCCACTCTGTGTTTCTTACATCTTAAATTATTCCAATGTTCTGCCAATATATAAATGCCAACATATAAGGGGGTCATTTAACAGGTGTCTGTATTACATAGATTTTCACAAAGCAAGCACTAATAAGTATATGTGTTATAATTATAAAACTGTTAAAAAGCATCATTCTTGAGTAATGCATCATTTTCAAAAACGTGTGTTCATGCCAAAGATTTCAAATCTAAAGAGACCCTCTTGGGTTGGGTCACGATGGAAAGAAACGTGATTAACAGGACCCTACGGAGCTCTTTAATCTGCTGTTGTATCACTATAATATTTCTAATGGGAACTCATTATGAGTCTGCGGTACAGAATACATTTACAGTGACCTTATTGTACCTTTGGGCAGTTTTATGATATTAATTGAATGTGCTACTGTATTGTTATATTCCTACAGAGAGTTATTTCCAATCTTGCAGAGTAGTAGTACTAGTAAAGTAGATTTGGTTTTTCTATATTGATTGAGACATCTCTTTAGTTTTGGCACACAGTAGCCATGCTATCCTCTTTTATGCAATATGTTACGTACATATTTATCTAAATGTTTATTGTTTTATAATAAGGGTTGAAGCAACCTTCCAAACGTTGGAAGAAGAAACCAGATCCTTTATTTATGTTCCCTTAAAGAAGTAATCTTCCAATTTTATAAGAAGTACTCCATTTGCGGTTGTAATTTTATGATAGTAAACTTGTGTTTTGACAATTTTAAGTCTTTTAAAAGTATGTGTTTTTTTATAAATGTTTACATGGACTGCCCCCCCCCCCCCCTTAGGGGAAT